GGCACGGCACGGCACTCTAGCGGCACTCTTTTTCGCGTTCTGTCTCTCACCTACGGGGCTCTTAAAAGCAATCGAAAAACTATACACCAGTTGCTGTTTGGGGGAGACACACACACACACACTGGTGCACTGAGGCCCAGGTGCGCCTGCTCCCGGTTTCGTCACAAGTGGCAAAAACACGCACTGCTGCACTATTGCGCACGATCCCATTGGAGAACGACGGGGCCAAATGATCCCTGAATACGTCTTGGCATACTCCTGTTCCGTAAAACGTACGAGGAATCCTGTCGCCGACTCTCTGTGGTAGGCACCGTAGCAGGAGCTGTAAAAGAAACTGTAGCAGCTTGACTGAAAGCTGTGCTACTGGCTGTAGTAGGAGTTACAGCGAGGCCAGTAAAAGCCGTGCTAGGAGATGTAGTGGGAGCTACGCAAGAATCTGCACTAAGAGCTGTCGTGAGAGCTGTGTTACTGGCTGTAGGAGAGACTGTAGTCGGAGTTGCACTACCAAGTGTATGGACTAGCTGTAGTTGGAAGTAACGTAAGGACTGTAGTAAAAGCTGCACTGAAGATTGCACTACGGACTACTGTAGGCGATGTACTACTGGCTGTAGTAGCAGCTGTAGCAAAAGGTGCAGTGAAAGCTGCAGCGAGCTGTACTACTGACTGCACCTGGAACTGTAGGAGGAGCTGCACTAAAAGATGTAGTAGGAGCTTCTGTGAGAGCTGTAGACACAGCTGAAGTAACAGCTCCAACGAGAGCTACATTGCTGGCTGCACTGTGAACTCGCATAGCAGCAGTGGCAAGAGCCAGAGTAGCACCTGCAGTGGGAGCTGTAGAAAGAGCTGCAATAAAGAGCTGCAGTGAGAGCTGCAGTATTGGCTTTGGTAGGCACGGAAGTAAAAGCTCTTGTACAAGCTGCATTGAGAGATGTAAGATTGACTGCAGAAGGTGTAGTAGGACTTGTACAAGGAGTTGTGCTAGCTGCATTCGGAGATGCAGTAGGGACTGGACTACGGGCTGTCAGAAATGGAATACCAGCTGTAGTAGGCACTGTCGTCAAAGCTGTAGCAGGTGCTGTCGTGGGAACAGTAGAAAGAACTGAGGTCGAGAGCTCGAGGGGAACCTGTAGCACGAGCTGCAGCAGGAACAGCAAGTTCATTAATACCTGGAGTGGAATATGCACGACTAGCTGTCATAGCAGCTGCAGTCGGATCTGCAGTACGAGCTGTGCTCACCTGGCTCTAGCACAGACTGTAATAGAATAAAATGTAGTACGAGCTGTCGTAGAGCTGTTGTACGAGCTGTAGTAAAAGCTGATGTTAGACCTGTACAGGCAGCTGTGAGGGATCTACACAGCCAATAATAGGTACTGCAACAGACTATTGACTACGAGCTGCAGCTGGCTGCACTAAGACCTGCAATAAGAGCTGCAACGGCTGATGTACGACTGCCTGTGACAAGAAAACTGCAGTAGGAAATGCACTAGGAGATGTTGTATGAGCTGGAATCCACCGACCCGGTCGGCGTGTGGAAGAGGCTGTCCCCATCGTCGTCGCCGCTTCCCCTCCTTTCCCGAAGAGGCTATTGACGCTGTTCCGTTTGCCTCGTCGTCGTCCTCGCCGTCGCCGTCGCCGTCGCCGTCGTCGTCGTCGTCGCCGCTCCCTCCCCCCCTTTTCCTCGGTCATCCTTCTCAAGCGTGCCAGCCAAAGCAAAAGCGAAATGCCAAAGCGAAAGCGAAATTCAACAACGTCGTCATTGATCCGAAGGAAGCCCCTTCCCTTTCATCCGTTCCCCGCCAAGGGGGAGGGGGTCCCAAGGGAGCTTCCCGAAGGGGTCCGGGGGGGGGTCCCGGGAGGGTCCCAGGGGGTCCCAGGTCAGAATATCCTCCTCCCCGGGTGCGGGGACCGGCCTCAAGAAAGTCCGCAGACGGGTCAAGAGTGCCCCAAGAGGCCCCAAAGACGGTACAAGAGAGCCCAGAATCGACGAACGAACTGTCCAAGACGCCTTGACGGCCTCCAGACAGCCAAAAAGCCCTGCAAGACGCCCCAGAAGGCCTCCATGAAGCATTTCGGCGTTCTCGTCTCTTCCGTTTCCCGACACTCCAAGACTGCCCAAGAGGCCCCCCAGATCGCCCCAAGACGGCCCAAGAGGGCTCTAGGAGGGACCCAAAACGGCCCAAGAGGGCCCCACGACGGCCCAAGACGCCTCCAAGACGGCCCGAGAGGCCTCCACGACGGCTCCAAGAGGGTGCCCAGACGAGGGACCAGAACGGACATTTCGAGCCCTCGGCCCCGAGGCTCCCAGGAGGAACCAAGAGGCCCCAACGTGGCCCCAAGAGGCCCCAAGAGGCCCCCAAGAGGCCCCCTGGAAGCCCCGAGAACCCCCAAAGAAGCTTCCAAGAGGCCTCCAAGAGGCTCCCAAGAGGCCCCTAAACTCTCCTTGAGACGCCCCCGAAAGCGCTTCGAAGAGACCCCAAGAAGCATCCATGAGGACTCTGACCCACGTCGGCGTCGTCGTCACCGCCGCCGCCGCTGTCGTCGTTCCCCTTCGGGGTCGGCGGCACCGGCCGTCAGGCCCTGGCAATAGAAAAAAACAGTAGGAGCTGCAGAAGGAGCCTTATAAAGAGCGGATCCAAGAGCAGCAGCGAGAGCTGTACGACTGGCTTCACCAGGATGTGGACGGAGCCGAAGCACAAGCTGTAGTAGGAACTGTGGTAGGAACTGTACGAAGGACACCCCAACTAGAGTACATCATCCTGAAGGGCCCTTCCAACTAGAGTACATCATCCCGAAGGGCCCTTCGCGAAGCCTGAAGAAACCTGGGGAACTGACGAGGGGAATGTGGCAGCACACCACAAGAGCCCGGCACACGGCTCCACGGCAGGATGGGGGGCCGAAGGGCCCCGCAACCACCACGGGGGCCCGAAGGGGCCCCGAAGAGGCCCATGTTGCTGCTGCTGTTGCTGAAGCGGTGCGCCAGTGACTCTTTTCGTCTGCAACACCATAACCACCACCACCACCACCGCCATCAGCACCACCATCACCGCCATCATCACAATTAACATCATCATCGTCGTCATCATCATCATCATCATCATCATCATCATCATCATCATCATCTTCATCATCATCAACATCATCACCATCATCATCATCATCATCATCATCATCAGCAGCATCATCACCATTCTCAGCATTGTCGTCATCATCACAATTAGCATCAGCATCCGAATCGTCAGCATCATCGTCAGCATCAGCATCAGCATCATCATCACTATTGCCGCCATCATGATCCAAACACCTGTTCGAAGTCTCCGCTGTACACGTCCCCACTGACCATGGCGGCGTACACCGCTGGCGACAAGGGCATGCCCGCGTCACGGAACTGGCTCACCCACTCCAGCGCCGTCTCCTCCCAAGGGGCGGCGACGGGGGGGGAGGGAACACCCTCTTTCTTATAGATCACGCCTGGCGGTAGGGAAGGCCGAGCGTTTCGCCTGAGACTTCCTCACCGATAAGGAGATTGACATGGTAGCCGGCGTGAACCCCAAACTGTGCATTTTTACACATTTATGTTATACAATGTATGTGGAGCAATGTTCGTTGTGCAACCCACGCGGTGCAACATATGCAGGGCAATCTCAGTAATGCCATATACGTAATGCGACCGATGGTGCGCAAACGATGTGAAGCAAGAGATCTGTACGCATGCATATACTTATACATTTGTACTCGGCGCAATACATTTGGTGCCATGCATGCGGTGTTATCTACGTGGTGCAACATATGTGGTGCGATCTGCGTTGAGCGACTAATTCCTGCTCGCAATGAGTTGTGAACTCCACTGCTCGTGCAACTATCCAACCCACCCACCCGCAACATGGTTTGCAAAACCCATGCGGCGGCAGCGATGGGTGCTTGGCGTTGGCTGGTGCATCTCTGCGGCCGCGCCAACCCGCGCACGCGCGCGCAGCTGCCAGCCAGTCTGGCGCGACCGACGCGGCCGCGGTGGCGCTGACCGCTGGGCACTTCCCAGCGGGCAATCCAGTGCGATTCGACGACTTGGGCGGGCGCAGTATCATGGCAATGCCGACAACGGTAGACACGAAGATGATAATAGCGATGCTGGTGACGAGGACGACAACGACGACGGCAAAGCCAGTGACGGCGCCGATGCTGATCACGCGGCGTCCCCGCGTTGGTGATGAATGTTTTGGAGGGAGTTCGACATGCGCGCGCGGCCGACGCGAAAAGAGTGGATTATTTGATACGGATCGTGACCCCCCCAGCACGCGCGCAACGGCGTTCGAGTGATTCCGACATGCGGCGCGACAGGCCCGCTTGACCGAAAAAAATACACACATGTTGAACAATCCGTGGTTCTCTTGAGAATTCGCAGGAGCGCGATCGCATGCTTTTTGAAAACAGGTGTTGCAAAACCATGTGTTCTATATGTGTTCGGGACACTCGGTATTGGAACCCGTGCGAAACCTATGGTTTTTGACTGATGCTGGCAAGCGCGCGCGACGACGCGCGCGCACACTTCGTTCCATCTGTTGCAAAGGATTCATGCGACAGCACGCGCACAGGGGCACTCGAGCGATTTCAACGCGCGCGCGAAAAGCACGTTTGGTAGCATGATATGAAAATGCTTCAACCAAAAAATGGTGTCCGTAAGAATTCGCAAAAGCGCGGGCGCAGGCTTTCTTTGAAAATTCGGGTTGTCAAACAATGCGGTTTTTCCAAAACATCCTGCGGTGCCGGGTCCTCGGTTTAAAGAGACAGCGCCCCGCGTCCTCACTCCCGCTGCCCCCTCCTTCCTCCTCCCTCCTCCCGTCACCCCTCAGCACTTTGGCACACCCCTCACACGTTTCGTGACCCCATAAGGAGCTCCACCGAAAGCCCAAATGGCAGCGTTCACATGCGCCCACCGCACCCATTGTGGCACACCCCTCACACGCTTTGGGGCCCCATAGGGAGCACCACCGAAGGCCCAAACGCCAGCGTTCACATGCGCCCACCGCACCCATTTTGGCACACCCCTCGCACGTTTCGTGGCCCCACAGGGAGCCCCACCGAGAGCCCAAATGCCAGCGCTCGCATGCGCAAGCCACCCCCATTTTGCTACACCCCATCACACGTCTCGTGGCCCCACAGGGAGCCCCACCAAGAGCCCAAATGCTAGCATTCGCATGCGCCCACCGCACCACTTGCATCACACCCCTCAACGGCCCCATAAAAGCCCCACCGAAGGCCCAAGTGTCAGCGTTCGCATGCGCCCACCGCACCCATTTTGGCACACCCCTCAAGCGCTTCGAGGCCCCACGGGAAACCCCACCCATTCTGGCACGCCCCTCACACGTTTCGGGCCCCACAGGGAGCCCCACCGAAGGCTCAAATGCCAGCGTTCGCATGCGCCCACCGCGCCAATTTTGGCACACCCCTCACACGCTTCGTGGCCTCAGTGGGAGCCCCACCGAAGGCCCAAATGCCAGCGTTCGCAATTGTGGCACGTTCCTCACACGCTTCGTGGCCCAACACAGGGCCCCATCGAAGGCCCAAATGCCAGCGTTCGCAAGCGCCCACCGCGCCAATTCTGGCACACCCCTCACACGTTTCGTGGCCTCAGTGAGAGCCACACTGCGCCCACGTTGGCACAACACTCACACGCTTCGCGGCCTCATAGGGAGCTCCACCGAACGCGGTGCATACAACGGCTGTACCCACAACTGCATACGATGGGGTCCTTCGCCGAACTTATTGTTGCACAAGGCGAAGGGGGCGATACCGGCTTAGCTGGTAAAAACAACTCATACCTAGGATGGAGGAGTGTGCAGAATAAGTACGAAAACGCAGTACGCGAAGGGGTATCGTTAATCCCTGGGGGGGCCTATGAAAGAGAATATGGAATGTGAAATATATGTTGTGTTATCTACGTTGTGCTATATATGTTGTGCCATATATGCGTGTCGAAACATATTGTGCTGTCTACGCGGCGCACCCTGCGTGGTGCACCCTACGTGCTGCAATACATGCTGCACAATCGGTATGGTGCAGCATATTCAGGGCGATTTATGCGGAATGCTGTATGTGTTGCCATGAACGTTGTGCAATCGATGTGCTGTAATATATGTGGTGCCGTCTGCGTGGCGCAATTCATTTTAACGAACGAGTTGGCACATCCCACGCTTTTGTAAACATCCCACCCACCCACCCGCAACTTGTTTTGCCAAGCCCACGCGGTGGCGATTGCGATGCATGCTTGGCGTTGGCTGGTGCATCTCTGCGGCCGCGCCAGCCCGCGCACGCGCGCGCAGCGGCCAGCTAGTTTGGCGCCACCGACGCGGCCGCGGTGGCGCAGACCGCTGGGCGCATCCCAGCGGGCACTTCACTGCGAGTCGGCAACTTGGGCGGGCGGGCGCGGTATCATGGCAACGCCGACTACGGTAGACACGATGATGATAGTGGCGATGCTGGTGACAATGTTCGCATCGACGAAGGCGCGGCCAGTGCGGGCGCCGATGCTGATCTGATCACGCCGACGACGATGACGGCGTCCTCGCGTCGGTGATGAAGGTTTTGGGGGGAGTTCGACATGCGCGCACGGCCGACGCGCGAGAGTGTCCCGCATGGTTTAATTTGACACGGATCATGCCCCCCAGCATGCGCGCCAGGGCATGCGAATGATGCCGGCATGCGGCGCCAGAGGCCCGTTTGGCAGATTTCTCTGAAAATGTTGATAAACCGACGGTTCCCCGAAGAATTCGCAAGAGCGCGCGCGCTCAAGTTTTTTTTTGGAAACTGCGATTGCGGAATCATGTGTTTTCGAATGTGTTTGGTACATTCAATTTTGAAACCGCTACGAAACAAAAAGTTGTTTGAAGGATTTCGGCACGCGCGCGACGACGCGCCCGTGTGCACTTCGTCCCGTTTTTGGCTACGGGTTCTCGCGACGGCACGCGCGCAAGGGCGTTCGAACGATTTCGACATGCGCGCGCGAAGCCCGTTTGGTGGCTGCTTCTGGAAATGTTGAATAACCGATGGTTTTCTTCAGAATTCGCAAGATCGCGCGTGCAAGCTTTTGGGGAAAATCCGTGTGGCGAAACCATATGATACGTTGTTGGGACACTCGATTTTGTTTGAAATCCTTACGAAACCTACGGTTTTTGAAGGATTTCGGCACGTGCGCGCGACAACGCGCGCGTGCGCACTTCGTCCCATTTGTTGCAAAGGATTCCCGGAAACTAATGACTTGTGATAAACGAATGCGCGGGCATAGTATTTTGGGGAGGAGATGACGGGAGGGGTCGATACCAGCTGGGTTGGGATGGTACGAATTCAGATTTAGGATGGACGATGGGGCAGAATCAAATGTAAATTGCAACAACAGAAGGTGTACCGATAAACCCAGGGGGCTCCGAATTTAGAAAGGAGAATTGACTGCCCTGCACCGCGCTTGACCACCACCACCCATGCTCTTGCAAACATCCCACCCACCCACCCGCAACTTGGTTCGCAAAGCCCATGCGGCGGCGATTGTGATGCATGCTTGGCGTTGGCTGGTGCATCTCTGCGGCCGCGCCAGCCCGCGCACGCGCGCGCAGCGGCCAGCTAGTTTGGCGCGACTGACGCGGCCGCGGTGGCGTTGACCGCTGGGCACATCCCAGCGGGCACGTCAGTGCGAGTCGGCGGCTTGGGCGGGCACGGTACCATGGCAACGTCGTCAACGGCAGACACGATGATGATAGTAGCAGCAATTCCGGTGAGGATGCTGATAACGACGACGGCACGGCCAGTGACGGCGCCGATGCCGATCACGCCGACGACGATGACGGCGTCCTCGCGTTGGTGATGCAGGTTTTGGAGGGAGTTCGACATGCGCGCACGGCCGACGCGCGAGTGGCCCGCATGGTATTATTTGACACGGATCGTGCCCCCCCAGCACCCGCACCAGGGCGTTCACATGATTTCGGCATGCGGCGCGAGAGGCCCGTTTGGCTGAATTCAATGCACATGTTGAAAACCGATGGTCTTCTGAAGAATTCGCAAGAGCGCGAGCGCAGGCTTTTCTGAAAACTGTTGCGAAACCTTTTGTTTGTCATATGATTTCGGGGCCCTCGGTTTGAAAGCCTTACGAAACCTCAAGTTTTTTATGCGCGCGCGACGACGTGCGCGTGCGCATTTCGTCCCATGTTTTCCCGAGGATTCTCGCGACAGCACGCGCGCGAGGGCGTTCGAACGCGCGCGTGCCGACGTACTCCTCCTCCTCCTCCTCCTCCTCCTCCTCCTCCTCCTCCTCCTCCGCCTCCTTCCTCATCCTCCTCCTCCTCCTCCTCCTCCCCTCCTCCTCCTCCTCCTCCTCCTCCTCCTCCTCCTCCTCCTCCTCCTCCTCCTCCTCCTCCTCCTCCTCCTCCTCCGTCGTCCCGCCTTCGGGGACTCCGCATCCCCCTCGATGATGGTGGGATGGGAGAGACGGGCCGCCACCCCCGGCACTGCACGCACGGTGCCAGGTTCGCGGGGACCGCCCCCGCGGCCCCCGGGAGGGAAGCTGCGGAGGGCACGCGGCGCCCGAGGTGCGGCGGTCTGGGGGCCCGTGGGCTGGGCGGCCCCCGCAGACGCCGCCCGCGTGCGCTCCCCGCCCAGCGAAGAGCCTCCTGCGCCTGAGGCCTCCCCCCCGCCGGGTCCCTTCCGCGGCCGCCCTCCTCCTCCCCGCTCGTCCAGCTCTGCGGCAGCTCAATGGGGGCCTCCCGCACCATATTGCTGGCTCTTGCGGACCGACGCTGAAGCGAGGCTGGTCGACGTGAGTCGGCGCTGTATCGGCGCTGCCTCATCGAGAACGAGACGCTAATCGACGCTGACACACCCTAGAGACGAGATTGCGAAGGTATACAAGGCTCCAAGGATGTGATGCCGAAGTTCCCCCTCCGCGGCCGCCCTTTCTCTCACTCGTCTGGTGTGCCCCTGCCCAGCGCGGCCCGCCAGCTGTTCGACCGCGTTGGCGTTCGCCCTCGCCACTGGCAGCAGTTATCCTGGCGAAAGGCCCAAGAATAGAAAGTTGTGAATGACGCATTTGTGATCATCGTCCTCGGCGGAGCTCTCTGTGGGGCTGCGAGACGTATGATGGGTGCGTCAAAATGGCCGGGGAGCCGGGGAGCCGGATGCAAACCACGCCTCTGGGGCCTTCGGTGGAGCCCCCATATGGGGCAACGACACGTGTGAGGAGTGTGCCGACATGGACATGCGGTGTGCGGGGAGCCGCATGCGAACCCTGCCACTGGGGCCTTCGGTGGAGCTCCCTGTGGGGCCACGAAGCCTGTGAGGGGTGTGCCGGTAGTGGGCACGCGCAGGCAGAGGCAGGGGTGTGGGAGGAGGGAGGTGAAGGAGGAAGGCGGAGGGAGGAGGGAGGACGGAGCAGGAACGCGGGGCGCTGCCTCTTCAGACCGAGGACCCACAACCACAGGGTGGCTGGGAAAGAAGCACGCCGCGCGAAGACTTGAGGAGGGGGCCTTCTCTGAGAGGCCGCCTGCGGGCCCCGCGCGCCGCCGTCTCCTCGTTTTCCTCCCCGCCGACCAGCATGAGCGTGTCGACCACGAGGGCGAGGGCGTCCGCATTGTGCTTGCGCTCGCCGACCATGCGCATGAACCACTCGTCCACCTCCGCAGGCAGAAAACAGAGGCCTCCTGGATGGGGTCCGAAGGGGTGGGGTCGGAGGATCGCCGACGCATCGCCGACGCATCGGCGATGGATCGGCGATGCATCGCCGACGTCGGTGACGCATCGGCGACGTCGGCGTGCAGAAAATCGGGCTCCGCATCGAGCCGCATCGCCGATGCATCAGCGATGCGGCACGATCCTCCGACCCACTCTACTCCGACCCCATCTGCGAGGCCTAGAGACAACCCACACACGCTCGCGTCGTGAAAAAACACGACGGAAAGGTTTTGGCCAGCCATGGGCAGAGGGTCGGGACTTCAGGGGACCGCGAACGCAAAAACAAAAAAAAAGACATCGCATGCCTGGAAGCTCCCCCCCTTGAGATCTGGGCATTGCCTTTTTTTCACACCGGGCGTTTTCGCCTGAGTTCGGGCCCTGGGGCCATCACAGATCGATCAGGCTCGAAAGATGACGCAGAAATTTGGGTTCTAGGGCTCTTGTCGTGATTTTCCGCGCGATGTGGCAATCTTTCGCAGCGTCGGATCTCAGGGACGACCCTTCCCATGAGCATCCCTACTGGCGAAGCCCCTTAGTGAACGCACCAGGGGGAAGAATCGAACAGGCAGGACTGTTGAGCAAACGCCCAGGGCTGTCAACAGACGCCAGCTATGGGGGACTGAAGGGGTCCTGGCGGATGCGAAAGCGAAACGGGCCGCTTTCGGTGGGCGCCCGGGTTCCGAGGCTCCTCGCTCTCTTGCTCTGGGTGCCGGGCCGCTTTCGATGGGTTGCCAAGCTCCCAGGTTCCCGGCTCTGGGCTCTGGCCGATTTCGGTGGGCGGCCAGATTCACGCGTGCCGAGCTCCTGGTCCAGGTTACCGGGCTCGGGTTCTCGAGTTCTTGGCCGGTTGCCTCCCGTGGCCTCCCGTTGTCTACCGTGGCCTCCCGTTGCCTCCTGTTGCCTCCTGTTGCCTCCTGTTGCCTCCCGTGGCCTCAAGTTGCCTATCCCTATCCCTCTCCCTGTACCTACATACTCATCCCTCTATCCCTATCCCTGTTCCTGTCCCCGTCCCTGTTACCCTTGTCCCAACCCTTGTTATCCCTATCCCTATCCTATACCCCGATCCCTATCAATATCCCTATCCCCATCCCCATCCCCATCCCGAACCATAGATATATCTTATCATTGTCCCTATATCCCTAACACTACATGACTGTCCCTACATTGCTGTCCCTATCCCTATCCCGACCCCCCCATCGTGGCCACCCATCGCGCCCCCCCTGTCGTGACCCCACGGGTTGGCCCCCATCGTAACTGCGTAAAGCTGTTGAAGGACTTCTGCCGCAAGGGTGCCACTTCACATGTGTATGCGCAGCACCCCGCAGATCGGATGAGAGTGAGGGGGCGGCGGGGACGTCGACAGTCTGCGAGACTCTGGAGAAGCCCGCCGCAGGCGCCAAAGCATACAATGAGCCCGCCGCAGGCGCCGATTTTTTCGTTAAACCGATGTGGGTAAGGCGCGGGTGGGTCGCGGGTGGGTCGCAAATGGGTCGCGGCTGGGTCGTGGGTGGGTCGCGGGTGGAGCGGGTGGATCGCGGGTGGGTCGCAAGTGGGTCGCGGCTGGGTCGCGTGGTGGGTCGCGGGTGGGTCGCAAGTGGGTCGCGGGTGGGTCGCGGGTGGGTCGCGGGTGGGTCGCGGGGCGGGTCGCGGGTGGGTCGCGGGTGGATCGCGGGTGGGACGACGACAACAAACAAACAACAACGGAACAAACATAATCCTCCCCACGGATACCAATTTCTGCCACGCACACAAGAGCAATCAATGACCATGCGCCTCCGTACCTCTGATATGTTGATTGAAATATACATGCATACATAATATATATATATATACTATTAACGTAGATACGCACACAAACACACACACACACACACACACATACACACACACGCATGCATGCATACATACATACATACAGACATACATGCATATATACATACATACATATATATATATATACATGCATGCACATCTACATATATGCATACACACATACACACACATACATTCATTCATACATACATACATACACACATGCATACCGAGGTACGTACCTACCCACCCACCCGCCTACCTACATACATGTATACATGCATGCATGCATGCATACATACATACACACCTATAAACACATACATACATACATGCATGCACACACATACACACAAACTTTCTTACATACATACATACATACATACATACATACATACATACCGACCGACCGATCTATCGACGTACCGACCTACAGACACACATGCATACACACCTGCATACATACATACATACATACATGCATGCATACATACATACATGCATGCAAGCCTACCTACATACATACATACATACACACACACATGCACGCATGCATGCATGCATACAAACATACGTGTATACATATATAGACAGACCTATATACCTACCTTCCGGTCTGCCTACATACATACATACATACAAGAACCACGCGCGCGCTACGCGCGCGCTTTGGTTCTAGTCGCAGATGAGCCACGGGTGCCGTTGTAAGCCCCGCTGTGGCCACAACGACGATTTCCAGCGTTCTCGGGTCCATGCCATAGACGCAAAGAAACGCGTAGTCAGAACGCGGGGCGCCACGTTCCCGCGCACCTCACAACCTCGATGCCGCCCTTTGTTTGGTTCATCGAACTGCGTTTGTTTTTCCACTTTCATTTCCGCTCTGCCCCGGCACAACACTCAATGATTCTGCATGTCTGCTCAGTCTCCCCATGCCCGATCACGCAGACATCCGCCTGCTCCGGATGTTGGGGTTGGCTCGGGGCCTCGTTGCACGCGCGTGAGAGCGCGTTGTTTTTGTTCCTCTTCCTTGCGCTCCAGGCTTCTCGTTCACAGCGGTCGTTCAGCTGTCGGATATTTGCAGGGGGCGCGCGCAGATGCCCTGGTCATCAGCGCCCTTCTCTGCAATCAATTGTTGTCGAGTCCGTCCACGGGAGTGGGGAAACTTCTCTGTGCTGGACGCCAAACCTCATGCTGGCGATAATCGCACCCGTGGGAGCAGAAGGCTCGGGGTCACGGGGGATGCTCAATGATTTGCCTGGCAAGTCCCATTTAAGCCTCGGAATCGTATAGACGGGGAAATGCGGAAACGCGGAAATCATTGACTCATGTCCTTCAGGTATTCAACGATCTGGGGCCCTCAAAGGCTTCCTGTTTTTTTGGGGGAGGTGAGGGGGTCTGAATTGTGGACTGTTGTGCAAGAGTAGACCGGGGGCCAAACTTGAAAAAAATAAGGAAGTGTGGGATTTCAATGTTTTCCAGTTCCTCGGCGCTGTTCGGCGCTGTTTTTCCCCATATCCTAAGGATTGGGGTTCTTGTTATTACTCTGACGCCTCCCACTCCTCCTCCTTCCTCCCGCCTCCCGCCTCCCTCCTCCCAATGATAATCACCAGATAAGACAAGACAAGATAAGATACTCCAAGATAAGATATGATAGCACAAGATATGATAAGGTAAGATATGATATATGACAAGGTAGGATACTATATCAGATAAGACAGCCTATGGAGTAATAAGATAAGACAAGATATGATGCGATAAGATGAGTTGATATAAGATAAGCTAAGACAAGATAAGAGATTTCAAGATAAGATAAGAAAGAGGGTAATAAAGGTAAGATAAGATAGGACTCGATAAGATAAGATGAGACTCACTCTCACTCAGACTCACTCACAGTCACATTCACTCACACTCACACTCTCTCATGATCACAAAACGCTGCCAGGGGCATCATTTGGGAGCCCCAAGGGGGAGCCACCCTGGCTGATCTCACGAGCCCGTTCGCGCCGATTTTGGTGGGACGTCTCAGCTAAAATTGCCGTTTGGCCTCCCCAACATGTTTCTCTTGAGAGCCTCATGGTCACAAAACGCTGCCAGGGGCATCATTTGGGAGCCCCAAGGGGGAGCCACCCTGGCTGATCTCACAAGCCCGTTCGCGCCGATTTTGGTGGGACGCCTCAGCTAGAATTGCCGCTTGGCCTCCCCAACATGTATCTCTTGAGAGCCTCATGGTCACAAAACGCTGCCAGGGGCATCACTTGGGAGCCCCAAGGGGAGCCACCCTGGCTGATCTCACGAGCCCGTTCGCGCCGATTTTGGTGGGACGCCTCAGCTAGAATTGCCGTTTGGCGTCCCCAACATGTATCTCTTGAGAGCCTCATGGTCACAAAACGCTGCCAGGGGCATCATTTGGGAGCCCCAAGGGGGAGCCACCCTGGCTGATCTCACGAGCCCGTTCGCGCCGATTTTGGTGGGACGCCTCAGCTAGAATTGCCGCTTGGCGTCCCCAACATGTATCTCTTGAGAGCCTCATGGTCGTCAAACGCTGCCAGGGGCATCATTTGGGAGCCCCAAGGGGGAGCCACCCTGGCTGATCTCACGAGCCCGTTCGCGCCGATTTTGGTGGGACGTCTCAGCTAAAATTGCCGTTTGGCCTTCCCAACATGTCTCTCTTGAGAGCCTCATGGTCACAAAACGCTGCCAGGGGCATCATTTGGGAGCCCCAAAGGGGAGCCACCCTGGCTGATCTCACGAGCCCGTTCGCGCCGATTTTGGTGGGACGTCTCAGCTAAAATTGCCGTTTGGCCTCCCCAACATGTCTCTCTTGAGAGCCTCATGGTCGCAAAACGCTGCCAGGGGCATCATTTGGGAGCCCCAGGGGGGGTCCACCAGGGGCTTCATAGTCACCAAACGCTGCCAGGGGCAGCATGTTGGCTTCCCAAAGAGGAGTCGACCCGGGCCTCCTAGTCGCCAGACACTGCCAGGGGCACCATTGGGATTCAGACTCGCACCCAGACTCACTCATACACAAGCTCACTCACACTCAGATTCATTTCTTCAGAGACAGGCACACACAGACGTACCCATACTCAGACTCACCCACACTCAGGCTCACCTAACCCAGACTCCGTCAG